TATATATATATATTATTTTTTTGACAGCATGGCCTCATATTGTTTAAATACTTTAATCTTAATTTGGCCATTTCATCTAAATGTCCTTGTATTAATCACTTGCACCTATTCTTAAAAACTTTGTGAGAGGTATGGCATGCCCCGTATTCATAACCTAATAATTATACATTTCAAGATTTATTCCTTGTAGTGCACTCTAATAGATTTAAAGTCTATTTAAATACAAGTTAAAAACATTTTTAATGACTTATTTTAGTGAAATTAAAGAATATTTTTCTGCAAAGAAGTTCTTAAAGTATTTCCAAACTTATATCAAACAAGCCTTTATTCTACTTTGCATTTATATTTCGAACAAAAGGCTTTCATAACATATTCGGTATAATTAGTACAATGTAAATATCAACAATAAAAAAATAACATTCCTTACGATAAATCGGAATATCTTAACTGTGTTAGAATATTTAGTAAATACCAAAAAAATTTAAAATAGAAGTAGTGTTGGATCGAATAGGAATAACATTTTGCTTTTTGGGGTATCAGACAGACCCACGAGTGCTTTTGTTGTGACAAAGTATTAAGCAAGGAGTTATTGTACTAATCAAAACGTTCATTTAAATTAAAGTAAACCTCACCTAGTTGTCGTTCGTGTTATCATCAATAAGAGGATTGAATTTTCCTTGCTATGGAATATTTATTGTTAATTAACTAAGCAAGATTCCATAATAAAGTGACTCCGATCGATCTTTGCCACATAAAGTGAAACTTTCCTTTTACTTTTTATGTTAACAACGTGCTTTGCGGCCTCCATTGGGACCTTAGTTACCTTATTTAATTAAATAAGGGCATAATTATAAACCAAATTAAAGAAGCCATGTAACACTTAATTCCAGCTTACAGGCAACAAGGAGACAGAAAAAGTTAATGGCCTCATCATTTTGTTGACTTTTCTTGCTGCCTATAGAGTATGAATGCTTTATAGATCAATGTCTAATTGTTGTGAAAAATCATGGACAAGAAAACCCAACATTCACACAGTGACACTGAATAATATCTGTGTTGATAATAGATTTTACTAGAATATATATATGTAACACTTGATCTAATTATGGTACCATATAATCATAACCAAATCGCAACTTCTTTGTCGCTTTTCCGCAAATCCTAAAGTATGCCTATCTCTTTGCTACCCATTGTTTTCAACTTTCCTGACATCTTGATATTAGTTTAATTAAAAAATAAAAAATGGATAATTTGTTAAAGGTTGAATGTTGTGTTTGTAATATTAAAGGTCTTTTTTATAAACTTTTCTAGAAATACTTATAAGAGAGAAAAATTAGAAGAAGAAAAAATTTCTTCATAAGAAAAAAATATTTAAAACTAATTTGTGCATAAATTAAAAATAAAAAATTGGATAACCTAATAGGAGAGACTAATAATAAAATTTTTGCAAATTAGTTTATGCATAAATTAATTTTAATTTATAAAAAAAATTGTTTTATTTTTCCTTCTTTTTCTTTTAGAAGTGTTTAGGAAAAACTTATTGTTTGAGTTTGATCGGTTTGCTTTAGAGGATTTTGCTGACCTGAGGGATTCCTTTTGCTTTTGGGATCAGAACCTATCTTCTATCTATAGCTGAATTGATACAACCTAACATAATAATTAGATGCTCGGGGGCATCATAAGTGAGTGTCTTCGACAACCACACTCAAAGGGCATAAGTAGTAAACAGAAAAGCAACATTTAAAGTAGAATCTTGTCGAAAAGAATTAGGTTTTATGACGGCCATCAACAATATTTATCATAGAATTGTAATAAGATGATTTTAGATAGTAGATAGAGAGAAACTCTCTCTTATTTCATCACGCACGGTTCTGAATTGAGACAGTATCGATGAAATTAAGGTGTTTTCTAATGCTATCTAAGATTGTGGATATATGAATTAAGTGTTCTTTCGAGACACATTCTAAATTCTGTTTTAATATTAATTTGTGCGATATATAT